ATTCTGCCACTGTTTTACAGGTCTCGCAGTAGCGACTACTGATTCTTCAGCAGGGTTTATTGCGTCGTTCCCAAAGTATGCCTTCAAGCCAGTTATATTTTCCAAATGATGATTTAACACCTACAGCTTTTTTGGAGAAGCAGTAAGTTTTACGATCTTTATTTGTTTGTTTATCTATTCGCTTCAGCTGTATCCAAATTATTTTCAAGCTTTTTTTTTTCTTTTGACCTGATCACTGCCTGTCAAATTGGACAGTTGTATCATGTGTTATAGTGTTTTGAATGCGTCGGGAGCAATCGTTCGGTTCGCTGCCGGGAAAAATGTGCTGTTAACCATCGAAGGTGGTGGAGGATTGGAAAGTCGTGAAAGAGACTCAAGCAGGGTACGAAGTAAAGTACTCAGCGAATATAAATGGAGCAATGAAGAGGGATATGCTGGTCGAGTGTTAGCTGTTCATGGGAATCTTATTGCTTACAGACTTTTCAACGATAGTACCGGTGAATCTGTTCGTGTTTTAGACAAGGACAGTAGTAATAGACATCTTATTAAGGTATGAGCGGTTTGTGCGATACAACTTTTGTTTTAGCAGTACTCTTCTCTTTTACTTTACGTGCTTTTCCTTTAGGACTTCATGTATCCAACAGCTGATCTCCAATGGGCCTCTCACGCACCTCTTTTGGCTGTTTTGGACTGTAATGCCAACCTTTATGTTTATCATGTCGATTCCAACTGTGTTGTGTAAGTTTTCTGTTAGTTCGTCACTTCCGTTTTTGGCACACACTTCTCATTTCCTCCTACTCGCCGTTATTGAAACATTTTGATCGTATGCGTGTTTGAAGGCTCTAATCATTCTCTTTTTTTATCTCAGGAAATTTTTCTCCTTTTTCAACCAACTTGCCGCAGAAAATCAAAGAGTTTTATATCAAAGTGAGAGTCTTTTTTATAGATGATACGCTTTTATTAAAATTTTACTCGTTAAAATATCTAGTATTTTTTAGTACTAAATACCTAAATGTAATGCGTCCTGAAAATGCCGTTCCCTCTGATGCTACTCCAAGGCTAAGCTGGTGTCCATTTATTCCAGAATCTGATGAACCACGTGAGCTCATACACATGATTGCCGTTTACTTCGTAAGTCTTGAGTTTATTTTAGAAACGAGTTTCTTTCTTAATCGTGTTTTTTGAAGTTCTTTTGATTTTTGGTTATATGAATTTTAGCTCAACAGGTTGCTTATTTCCCGGTACATATCTTTTTTTGTAGTGGAAGATTTTGGTAGCTGCAGGGAATCATACGCAAAACTGTTTGCATTCTTTGTTCCTGCCTTTCTTTTTTGTTGTTGCTTTCTTAGCTGCAAGCAGAATGAAGGAAATTTTTTTCTGCTGCTCAGATGAACTTTTTAAGAAGTTTACGTTTAAATTCTTTTAGAAAAGCCATTTTTGTCAAAGATTTACTTTTGGCTAATACCTGTGCTTCCTTGCGTTATATATTTGCATTTTTTCAGGGCAATGTTGTGGAACTAATAACACTAAATGCTATTAAAATAGAACTAGAGAATGAAGAAGAAGTTAATATAGAACGTCTTGATGGCATCCCAGAGTCGCTGATTCGTCTACCTAAAGAAGATATGCTTTCGGTAACGCTTCAGAAGATCCAGTTTTATTTCTTGATACTTTCAGCGCCTTTTATACGTTGCAGTAAAGTCAATGTCTTGCGTATATCGCATTTTATTTATTTGGACGGCGGTTTGATTTAAGGATGCCCGGATGGTATGCATGAGTCCAGATGCAACTGCAGTAGCAGTTGTGCAGGATTCGTCGTCATCAGGTGTAAACTGGGGACTTGTGTCTTTTTTCATAATATCACCGGAAGGCGCGCGGTTTGCACATCGATGGCAGCCGAGATCCTCCTGGCCAATACATGATCTTATTTTTCTCGACAATACTGATGTTAATTCAGAAACGCCGTGAGTTCTTAGACCGTTTTATTGCTTCAAAAAGCATTTCCTTTTTTAAAAACTAGAAATTGTTTTCAAGTGAACAGTTTTGGAAGTACGCGATTGTTGCAATCGAAGGTGGTAGACGTTTGGAATTGTACGAGAGTGAAAGCTGGCTGTGTATAGGAAGACTCTGCTTTGAATCTGTTGATCTTCTGCCTACGTTCTCCGTTTCAATGGATCCCTCAGCTCGCTTTTTATTTTTAGCTGATTATGGTGCAGCGGTGAGCTATTATTGTAGAACGTTTCATTCTGAGTGTTAAACTAGTAAATTTGGTTATATGTCTTTGGTTTTTGGAGTTACTGTCGCTGGATCTAATCGAGATGGAATTAAAAGGTATTTATAGTATATAAGCTAGAAGCTCATTCTTTTTTTTGTATTTTGCGCACAGAAGAGTGTTAAAGTTAAGATTTTTTGAGAAACATGGAGTCCTGAAGATCAAGTCTAAAGTAAACCAGTTTGTTTGGTTGAATAACAAGGCATCCTTTAGAACGTTTATTGTGTTGAAATGATGTATACAGAGGGCGTGCCGCGCTTTGCTGCTTGTACTAGGATTTCTTTCTGTCATCCGTTGGTTTACATTGTGCCTTATTCCATAAGTGTTGACGACACTTCACGAACGGCAAATCTCGGTAAGCCAGGAATTGTGAAATATAGTTTTTTACAGATGCTGAGCGCTGTCGATTCTATTCTAACTGTTTGTGGCTTTTTTAGTACTGTTGGGACCATCTAACTTTTATCAAAGCGTTCTTCATACTTTTCAATCTTATAGTTTCAGACAGTTCACTTTCTGATGAAGATCCCTCGCTACCACGTATCAATGCTTGGTTGATTGCGCTTTCAGATCGTTCGTTACAGGAATTGCAGTTCTTTTTAGACTCATCATCTGTAGAAAATGATTCTAAGAAATCCTCGGATGGGAAAGTGGCAGTTGCCGGTGACCTAAATAGCTCTAGAAGACTTAGGTGTGTGAGTAGATATAATTTTTGGGGCCTTTAAAAAGAGTTTTGTTGAGATCTGGTAACAGTTTTTGTTTAAGCTTCTGTGATGCTTCTTTCACTGTTAAGTGTTCAAGGGAAGAGGACGCCGTTGAAAAAATTTCTCGTCAGTTGGAAAAGGAAGGTGAAGCAGTTGAAGCAGTAAATGCTAAGCTTGAAAAATTATTGCTTAATATGGAGCAACAAACCAGAGATGCGGAGAGACAGCGCCGTGAAGATCAGGCG